GTCACAGGAAGGACAGTCACCATGCACAGAGAGGTATGGCGTCCAGAACTCGGCACTTAAGGTGATTCCCATGCAGGCGGCCCACGTTGCCCTGGACTGGTAATCCTGACTGCAGAGCCCAAAAACCACATCCCTGAAGGGCAGATAGGACTCTCCCTGCTGCCTTACAGAGGCTGTGGGATGTCCTCTTCCTCCCATCTTACAGATGAGAAAATTGAGACTAAGAAGAAATGGTAACTCCTCCAAGACAGGTAACTGGTACTGGTAGCAACAAGATGGGGGTCAGAACAGTCAAACCAGCACAATGTCTGTGAGGCCTGGAGAGCTGGGGAGGGGATGGACAGAGGTGAAGCCATGGCAGCCACAGAGCCTTTGGGTCACTTAGTTGTGAGGCCACAGGACAAGTCAGGAGAGATTTTTGCACTGATTTAGGAGGAGGTCCCCGCTGAGGACTCCTGGGCTGGGATGCCTCCAAAAGGATGATCACAGCACGTGACCCAGCCCGAGCACGTGCACACACACAGAGCCTCTCATGAAGAACTCCCAGGCCATCTGGCACAACAGCTACTGGGACGGCCAGGCCTGGGCCTCAGGTGCAGGGAACGTGACAAGAGGCGACACGGAACAGAACTCTTTTGGCAAACGGGAGCAGCATTCGCGCACCCCACTGAGTTAGGATTTGGAAAAGGCTTAGGTGCACCCGCCTCCCGCCCTGGAGAAGTGTGGGGTCTCCCTGGAGTCCACGCATTCTTCACCAAGGGATTACAGCAGCGCTGTCCCCTAGAACTTCCTGTGATGCTGGAGAGATTCAGTATGTGCTCTGTCCAAGATTCCAGCTACCTGCCACGTGTGGCTACTGAGCAGGTGAACGGCTACAGGGATGGGAGAAATGTTTCTCACTTTAATAAATATCAAAAGGAGCTAGCGACTCACATCTCACAGGAGATCCGTGAGTAGATACCACTCCTTCTTGTCCACATTTACAGGAGGAGGGAGGCGAGGCCCAGAGAGGCCAAGTAATTTGTCCAAAATCATCCCACAGCTGGTGGGTGGTGGGTATGGAACTGATCCCAGGAGTCTGGATCCAGCGCCTCTCTCTAACCACCATACTAAGCCCCGTCCCTGCATTTCTGGCTCATTATCTGCGGCCCACAACAGCGTACACACCTGTGTGCACACATGAGGCGTGAGCAAGGAGGCTGACTGAGAAGCAGACAGAGAGCCGAATCGGAGCCCCGAATGGCAGGGGGACCCTAATTTTATGGGCGAGAACCCCATGACCTTGGCTCGCTCCTAGCTAATGAATCAAACATTAGCAGTGGCACGTGGGGCTTTGTTTAGAGAAAGAGCCCCTGAGGAACAGAGCGCCCTGTCAGACAGGAAACATGCAGCCCTCACCCCGAGGAACCCTCCAGCAGACAAAAGACGCAGGGAACTACAGGGGTTCGAGCCGGAGTGGCGGGAACCCCAAAGGAAGTGTCTTATGGAACCACTTGCATCCCTGACTCCATTCCAGCCAGTCCTAGAAAGTCTGTGTTCCCAAGAGGTCCAGGGTGAAGGTGTGGAGAGAGCACGGCCTCGGGTGATCACTTTCTCTAATTAGCAAAACACATTAAGGACACGGCTTACAAATGCCTCACATCTCATTTGCATTGAGCTGTTGTTACCTTATTGATTATATTAAATTAGGAGATGGTCACACCGCCTGCAATGTAACAATTATCATCATCAAACCAATTAGCATCAAATGGGATGCGTCCCCATGGCTGCGGTTCTGCACTCGGCTCTTTCCACCACTGACTGCCTGGCCTTACAAAATAATTGCATTTCTAATGAAACGCAGCAATCAGCAGAAATCTTCCCAAGAGACTCACCTCTCTCCACGGCTCTGTGTCAGGGTATCTTGTCACATGAGAACAAACAAAACGATACAATTGGTATCTTTGGCAAGTCCTTGCAAATAAACTACTCCTTGCCACAGAAAGCTTTGATCGCAGTTTCAGTCTCAGCTGAAGTGCAGTGGCGCACACCTGTGATTGCAGGATTTGAGAGGCTGAGGCAGGAGGATTACTGTGAGTTCGAGGCTAGACTGGGCTACATAGTGAGACCCTGCCTCAAAAAAAAAAAAAAAAAAAAAAAAGAAACAGCCAGGTGTGATGGCGCACACCTGTAACCCAGCACTTGGGAGGCTGAGGCAGGAGGATCATTGTGAGTTCAAGTTCAGCCTGGGCTACATAGTGAGTTCCAAGTCACTCTCAACTACACAGTGAGTCCCTGTCTCAAAAAAACAAAAACAAAAAAAACCCAGAGTTTGAGTCTCAGACAGTCTCAGGCACAAACCCCACACACGACAGACCCACATATCCTGTCTTACTGCCCACACAAGCCTATACCCAGCATTCATGCACAAGTGCACTCACACACCCAGCTGTTCACCCAACACGTGCTCACACAGGCAGGCAGACACAGGGTACAGGCGGCTGCACACACACGCACACCAGCACGCTCACGGTGCGCACCACACCAGTCACACCCGAGGACACACACCATCATTTTGGGAAACACTTGTAACGGAATCCAGGGCTCCGGCAGGACCCAGAGACCCGTCCCCGTGGCCACTCAGGCGCAGGTGCTCACTCCTCATCCGCACGGTCACACTGCCACCTTCCACCCGCCACGTCTGCCATTCTCCCTCCGGATGACCAGCGCGGGGGGAACCGGGCACTCTGAGTTTTCCCAAAGAGGCAGGCGTGGGAGAGCAGCTCCTTGAGGAGTTTCTGCTGGCCCGAGCGCTGTTCATGTGCACCCCGCCTTGACCTGCACACCCCTGACTGAGTGCTCGCCCCCGTGCCTACCAGGGAGCTCCTCCTCCTTCCTTCCCTCCTTCAATAAAGACTTCCTCCCTGTAATCCCAGCTACTTGAGAGGCCGAGGCAGGAGAATCCCAAGGTCAAGGCCAGCCTGGGCAGCTTAGTGAGACCTTGTCTCAAAATGAAAAATGTTTAAATCGGGCTGTGTGTTGGTGGGAGTGTTTGCCTAGCAGATGCAAGGCTCTAGGTTCCACCCCCGGTACCGTGAATTAACTAAACAAATACTTCCCGCATGCTTCCTGTAACCTGAGTGCTGTGCTAGGTGCTGCTCGGCACCTAGCTCCACAGAACAGGAAACAGACCCTGGTTTTTGTAGCACATTCTAGGGGAAGAGACAAACTGGAAAGTAATCGGTCACCACATATGTGATAGGTAAGAGGTGCCAATCGAAAGAGCAGGTGGGGCCAGGGATGTAGCTCAGTGGTGCCTGGCAAGCGTCAGGTCCTGAGTTCAATCCCCAGTAGGGGAACAAATAGAGCAGATGAAGAGAAGAGAGTGTTGGATGCCAGTTTGGACCAGGGGATCAGAAAACGTCTCCCTCAGGTGACGTGCGAGCGGGCGCCTGCGGAAGGTGAAGCTAACTGTGCAAATATGTGGAAGGACAGCATGCCAGGCAGAGGGAGCAGACAGTGCAAAGGACCTGTGGCACGTGGGTGGGTGGCAGTCCCCAGCACAGCAGAGCCTCCAGCACAGGTGGAGAGAGTGAGCCAGGGGGCTACAGAGAGATGGTGCCTATTTCGGGTGCATTACCTCATTGAATCGTCTCAGCTCTGGCCATGAGGACCAGTATAACTTCCAATTTATGGGCAGGAAAACCGAGGCTCAGTGAGGTAACAAGACAGTGCCAGGTCACACAGCTCTGAAGACACTGAGCAGAAACCCAGCTGGGTCCGCCCATTCCAGCTCCAGGCCTGCTCTTAACCCCCGGCCCTCAGCGGCCCTCACGCACCCCTCTCCCCACCCCGGCTGTCCCAGGGCTGTCTCCACAAGGCTGTGCACTGGCTAACGCTCACAGGGTCGTCCTGGCCCCAGCCAAGTCGCTCCTCCGCCCGGCCGCCTCCGGTACACATTGTTACAGCGCGAGCGTGGCCGCCGGCGGGGCTCACAAGCACAAACACCATTAATAACTCCCAACTCTGCCGTCAGCTCCAACGGGCCGTGCAGGGTCCCTTACACCCACACGGGGAGACCCTGAGGAAGCCCCACGGGCGGTGGAAATGCCCTCTCCAGAAGCAGAAGCCCTCATGGTCCGCCTGCCCCCTTCCCAGGTGCTGCCCTCGCACTGAGCCTCTGTCTCTGCCACCTGCTTCTCCAGATTGGAGTGGAAGAGGGCAGGGGAACCCCACACCACGGAGAGCTGAACCCCCACTGCAGAGGAGCCACAGTTCCGTTCCTATGTGAGGAAGAAGAAAGGAAGCCCCTTAAACAAAAGGGAGAGCAGAGGTCCCAAGCAGTTGCCACACTCTCCTCCCTAACGAGCAAGGCTCAAAGAACATCTATAAGAAAATATTTTTGTGTCAAGATCTATGAAGTAAACATCTTATTTGATAGTCACAACGATCCTGACACGAAAACCACACAGCTGAGGCCACTGTGGCTCAGAGGCATTCAATCACTAATTTAAGATCACATAGCCAGGGGCCAGGCGTGGTGGTGCATGCCTGTAATCCCAGCACTCGGGAGGCTGAGGCAGGAGGATCGCTGTGAGTTCGAGACCAGCCTGGGCTACATAGTGAGTTCCAGGTCAGTCTCAACTACATAGTGAGACCCTGTCTCAAAAAACAAACAAACAAAAAAAAAAATCACATAGCCAGCAAGTGGAGGAGCTGGTATTTGAACCCAGGTCCACGCAGCCTCACAGGTGGTGCCCTGCCCGAGTTCCTGAGATTGGGGAGGCTCAAGAGAAAGCAGGGAGGGTTGGCGCCTGTGCAGCTGATATCCTGCAGGAAGACGCTCCCTCGGCCAAACCCCTCTCTCCTAACAATTCCTGGGGAAGTGGATGGAAGACAGCATGGGGGAAGAGGGATGGGAGGAGGCGGCCAAGGAGGAGGGAGTGAGGGACACAGGAGGCGGCCCCGCCCGCACACCCGCCCTGACCCTCACCCTTCCTCCTGACCCACTGCACACTCACCAGCGTGTTCCTCGACCACATTCCAGAACGTGGCAGGAATCGGACCATCCGTTCATGGCCCCGGGGTCTTGCCCAGATCTACCGCGTACCAGTGCCGCACACAGGAGCTGTGAGAGCTGCGGGTCCACACGGCTCACCTGTGAGCAGCGTGAGACGGCCCCGTCCTCACACGCGCACTCACGGCTCTGCGAGTCTGCCTGACACGGCAGCTCCCTCCCTCAATCCTGAACGCCAAACTCGCACGTTACCACCTGTGAAGCCACCCCAGGTGCACCGGGCCGTGGGAGCGGAATGAGGCAGAAACGCACGAGGATGAGCGCCTCCCCACGCCCCAGTTCAGCTGCATCCCCGAGGTCATCACGGAGGGCGGAGATCTTTTCGCCCAAAACAAAAAATGTATCATGGGCTTTTTCCTTCTTTTTTCTACTTATTTACCTGAGAAAAGTAGGACTCCCGCTGCTCTGCAGTCTCTTTGCTCTCTTGGAGCATCACGGACAAGCGCCCAGGTCAGCTCCCCCGGACGGAGCCGTCACCCTCAGTTGTGTGACCATCTGCAGTGCTGCCCTGAACCACTTCCTTCCTGAGGGCCCAGCTGCCTCACCTCCGTGGCTATAAATGACGCTGTCAGAAAACTCACAGGGCGTCTACCTCTGTGTGCCGATGCTTTCCTTCCCCCAGGATGGCTTCCCAAAAGAGGAATTTGTACATCAGAGCGCATTCATATTTTAAACTTTCATTGGCACTGCTAATTTTGTTCACTAACATTTAGAGCAATTCTCACCCCCCCGCCGGTGGTATATGCCAGAATTCCCACATCAGGGCCAGAACTGGACATGATCTACCATTTCTTTATTCTTGCCAATAGATGGATGAGAGTATCTCCCTCCTACTATTGGAATGAGGTTTAAAAGAGCTTTAAATGTAAAATACACTTCGCAGCATGTAAGCCCGTAATAAACATTAGCCCTATAAGCCCGGCATGGTGACACACGCCTGTAATCCCAGCACTCGGGAGGCTGAGGCAGGAGGATCGCTGTGAGTCTGAGACCAGCCTGGGCTACATAGTGAGTTCCAGGTCAGTCTCAACTACATAGTGAGACCCTGTCTCAAAAAACCAAAAAAAAAAAAATTAGCCCTATAGGTAATTCTGATGTCCCTGTCACAAATCTGAGAAAAGCCCGGAAGACAGAGTAACTTCTAGGTTCAGGGCATGGTACTTCTTAAGTAGATCCAGATTCCGAGCCGGTATTCTCCAACTGGCTGGGTGGCTCTGGGTGAATCACTTAACCTTCTGGAGCCTCATCTGCTTCATTTCCGTCACCTGCAGCATTAGCCCTGCGCTTTCTCCCTCACAAGGGAATAACAGCTCAGGTGAACTCGTGAATGTGCGTCACCTCGAGAGGCTGAAGATCCGGTGCCAGGCCAGGGCCATGTGCAGCCATCTCCACCAGCGAGCAGGCACGACTGCCAGCCAGCTTCTTCTCGAAGGAGCAGGGACCTTCCATGACCTTTCAACCACGCAGTTGTGTTCCAGGAGTCCTTGACGACAAGGCAGCTATGCAGATGGAAGCACAGGGTCATCTGAAGGGCTACAGGAGACGCTCCTCCCACCCACAGATGTCCCCTAGTGCTGACACTACTGCCAGCTGCCAGAAACTCCACCATTAGAGGCCAGCCCTCCCCATACCGTTCCCTGGAAATAACTTTCAGAGTTGTTTACTGCACACTTCCTGAGTACATGCTCTAGGCAAACCCGAGCTCTGGTCAGGCCCAGGCTGACACTCCCAGAGGCCACCTCTCCAGCTCTGACCTCCCCGCAAGCTTCAGACCCACACCCACATCTGACTGCTGGAAGCCTTGCTCACAATGTGTTCCAGGCCCCTCACATTCACCTCACCCCCAAGGGAACCGGCAGCTTGCTCTATCAGCCTCCCCTCCCGCTTTACATCTCAGGGCCTGGCCTCCCTGCTCTCCAGGCCACCGCATCAAAAGGAAGATCTCGCTCCCTTATCACCTGCATCCCACCAGTTACCAAGCCATGAGTGCAAGTGCTCCAGCTTCCTGACTGGGACAGGACAGGAGGAAGTGGGTGAGGCATCTTGAAGGAGGTACCTCAGGCTCCTGCAAGTGTTCACCCCGAGATGAATGCCATCTCAGACTGGTGCCCTGAAGCCTCGCGGCCCATCCTGGTCCTGGCTTGACCCTGTCTGCTAGGCCAAGCCAGCTCATCAACACAGAGGGAGCAGACACTTACCTGGCCTCTCCGACTGCCCTCTGCCCTCCAATCAACCTCTTCCCTGCAACCAGATTAATCTTCCCAAATTCCAAGCTGGATCATGCCACGTTCTCAAGAATCTTCCAGACGCATCATCACCCACAGAACTAAGTCCAGAGCCTGTCCGCCATTCACATCAGACATGCTGACCATCCCACTGCCACAATCAAGTCTCTTCTATTTGAAACTATCTTTCCAAAGAGTGCCTGCTCAGAACTAGCAACTGATTGGACCATGAATGAGCACCTGACACAAGAGCCGCCCAGCCATAGGCTACTTTAAAGCCTATCACATGGCCCAATATAAAAGACTGTACAAAGGGACACTAGTCATGGACTAAGCCAATTAGATTTCTTCTCTTAGGATTCTGAACTAGAAGAAAAAAGAATCGGCTGGTAGCAAGACCAAAATGCTGACACAAGTGACTGAACATAAGTCGTTAAAAGAATTTAAAAACAGCCTCCAGCTGCTGAGGTCCTAGCACCATCTTAAATCCGGTGTACCTCAGTTTCCCAGGAGCTCTGGCCCTGTGACATTCTCTTGTTGAATTCTGGTAGCTTGCCCTTGCCGTACCACCAGTGTCTTTAACGAGGTAGTGTGAATGGACTTTTGATCCATAAAACCACAGCACTGGAGGGCCTCTTCTGCAGAAAGACAGCCCGGAATCAGTCAGTCCTTTCTCTCCCCTGCTCTACAGTCTACTTGGTTTCTGGGGAGAACCTGCCCATTCCCAGCTTCCCAGTGAGAGACCCAGACATTCATGTGGACGAACCCATCCTCTCCGGGTCCCGGATCTAGATATCCTGAAAAGAGAATCTGACCACTGCTGGGTCGGGTATCCGGTCAGCCGCGAGCCAGGAGGCCACCTCATCAGGACACTCACTATAGCTCCTGAGGTTAACCTTAGCCACCCCTGGCTCTCCTGCGAGCATTACTGGGTCCTCAAAGAGGTTCTGAGGTCAAAACCAGAGGAGGGGGTGATGGCTGCCTTTCCTGACCTCGCAGTCTGCTCACTCCGGCTTGGCACTGGCTGAGGAAGACAGGATCCTGCCGAGACCTGAGCCGAAGACAACCGGACAGAAAAGAATGGAAACCCCGCTCCTACCAGCCAGCCCTACGCTTGGCTGTGACACTCACCCACCCACGAGGAAAGGGGCACCCAACACTTCTGTGCCGTTCCAAAAAACTAGAGACATCTCATACCCACAAATAATAATCGTGATTTTCCATAATTATTATTTGTGTATTTTGCATAATTGTCATAATTATTATCATCAGCTCGTCAGCCTCTCATCCCAGCACGCTCCTCCTGTCCTGAGTGTGATCACATGGGCCCCCTTGCCTGCCTCTGACTTCCTCCCAGAGATGTTCTCAGCATCCCTTCAGGAGATGGGACAGGGTGGCCCTGAGGGTTCTTCTGTCCTGTTCCCCCTTCCAGAATATTTCTGGCCTCAGGGTGAGCCCTGCACAGAGCCTGTGGGGAACGGAGACAGAGGTCATGCCACGGGAGCTTGCTGGCTCACTCACCGCACAAGAGGGTCCAGCCTCCCCACGCCCCTCCAGACAGCAGAACGAAGCCACCTCATCCCAGTTCATGAAGGCAGACCGGTAGCAGCTCACCCCAATACACTGTGCTTAGTGACATCACATTGATAGCTCAAGATTAGTCATTGTGAGAATGTTTACACCACCGAAATGGGCAGCAGGGATTCTGTTCCAGAAACAATGTCTAACCTGCCCTCAGACCCATGCGAGGTGTGCATCAGTGACTGTAAATGGTGCCAGTCCCCTTCAACAGCGCTAACTCTTAAACAGAAAGCCTCCAAAGTCCTGCCCGCCAAGCCCCAGCCCGTCCCAGCTTCCTCTCTGACCATCACAGCACATCTCCAGATCCTTCTATGTCCCAGAGAAGTCATCTCAAGGCCCACACTTTCTGGCTTCCAGTCTCCGCCTGAAAACCCTTCTCCACCGGCAGCCTCCTCCCCTTTGTCAGGTCTGGGCTTAGATGCTTCATTACCTGGAAGGCCTTCTTGACCACAGTCGGGGTTGGACACCCAGCCTGGACCCCGCCCAGGCACTCTATGGTCAGCACAGGGCCCCACTAACACCATGAAGTGTCTGGCACAGAGTCTGACATTGCTGAGCTGAATGGAATCAAACTGAATTAAACCAAGTAGAATGAACATCGTGCCCGGACAGGCTGTGGTCAGTGTCCTCACAGAGGACAGCACAGAGTGCTGTGGGGATCAGAGCAGAGCAGTGAGCTTCTGGTGAGCAGACATCCTGCACGCGTGTTAATGCCTTAGGCCTAGGAGCTCAGCAGCCCGGCCCAGGTTTTGCCTCTCTGCATCCCGCCTGCCTCCTCCTGGGTGCTCTCAGCAAGGGCGCCCTTGGCTCCTGTCCAGTTTCCCTCCCTGCAACTTTGGGAACAGGAGCCCCACCCCACCTCTCTCTCCATCATACACCCGAGCTTAGCCCCAGCACTGTCATCCGCAGAGGAAGGATTGGGGGCTCAGTATGAGAGAGTGAGGTTGGTTCGGAAGGGGAGAAAACAAGGTGCTGTTTCCTACTCATCAAAATCTGCAGACTAAGGTTCCTGTGTCCGAGCTGACATTTATTGAGAACTGTCAAGGAACCAAACAAGGACCAGCAGAGTGCAATTAAATAAACACAATAAACAGAACAGTATCTGATGCTTTCTGTGCCAGAGATCAAGCACCGGCAAGACGCTCACGGACATGTGGTCTGCTCCAGGGAGAGGCACTGGCCTTGTGTTGCCAGAATGGTGACACCATGCAGGAGCTCTGTGACCTGTGGGCACAAATGAGCACTCTGCTGAGGACAGGCTGCAGGACAAGCCCATCACTCCACACAGCTGGGCAAAGCAAGTCCCTTGGCTCACA